ACACGTACTACAAAAAGACCTCCCAGCAAGACATGTCCTGGTTTTACCTTTAACGAGTTGTTTCCGCTCTCCCACTTCCAATCTGCGGTCTAATCTCATCTCGATCGCCTCATCCGCCATCAATGACTACAGTTGTATTGCTGCAACGGCCAACATTTGCCGTCCATCGATACGTGTATAAGCTCTTTATGCTGTACACACAAAGCACTAAATGACGAATAACGGCTCTTTTCCGTTTCCGGCTAACATCACTAGTTTACAACGAACCACCACCTGATCGTCTTATTGGCTGATCGCCAATAATGGATGAATGCTAATGAAGTTGTTCATAAGTCAGGTACGAACATACCAGACTGTGTTTTGCTCTGGACAACAGATGATTGATGACCAAAATTACTGACTGAACATGCTTTTAAGTACCAGTCGTTGTCGCGTCTCTACTGTACAGTTGCGGTTTGGAATAAGAACTGTACGAGTGCTGAGCGAGTTTGCGTCAAAGGCACACATAACGTGACCTTGGTATGACAATCGATGACGAAGTCGTATAAAAATAAGGCGTTAAAAAATTGGTTGCTTCAAAGTGAACTTCTGTCAGATGAATAACTGACTGCTGAAATGTGACGTTCTTCTCAGAGGTACGACGCTATGAATATGTCTACGCACAGCGAAACAATTATTACACGCATGTAGTCATGTATATGTACAGTACTACTGTCGTTTATGCACTTGGTAAATGTTTCGGATTGCTTTGTGCAAGCAAATCGACCAGTTCAATTTTATGAACACGCTTGAGTGTCAGGAAGGTCACTGTCTACGAACGCAAACTACCAACGTGGAAATTACTCAAAGCAGGGAAGAACTGTTTAATCTTGTTTTACAGTAATCCGTTGGTTTTTAATAGTGCTTGTAGAATCTGAGGTTTTGTAAAGTAATATCGCACGTTAGAAACAGCGGCTGGAAGAAAAAGAATTGTAGATGAAAACTTTTCATTTCAATTGCCTCAAAACGATTCTGCCTTTCTTCCTATTAGAGAATAATAATGTCTTCTTGTATGCTGATTAACTTTCTTTTCTAATTCATCACAGAGACAAAAATATGTCAGAAGATTCTAGCAAAAGTCAGAACATTGTGACAGTACTCTCGCAGTTTGACATCATAGTTTCATTTCCTATTGGACAGTGCAAGTGAACTATAAACTTCAGGGTTCTATTCAAGTTACTCGACTTATATTGTCCTCTATTATGAGGCCAGATTTCACGGCTTATTACATCACCTCTTGCTCTCAGTGGCCAATGGGTGAAGGTGAGGAGAGCGATTTAGGCAGTTTATGGCTCAATCGCATTTGAATAAGTGTAGTGTCACATGCCTCTCGCATCATTTTGTCCGCTAGAGCTGCCTAGCACTCATTATGAAAGATATTTTGGAAGATTGTACTTCTCATATGCTTCTGGGCGAATAATAGCAAGGAAACGGTATAGTACGCCATGAAACCTTTTCTCGGCAGAGTCATTCATTTTTAGACATACACGGTGTACGACAGCCGATGCCTCTGCGGTAGCATATAAGGATTAGCAGCCCCTGAAACATCATTCGTGATGAGCGCGAGGTAGCGCTAGCGGATAAAGTGAGGCGAAATGCGTCTGACATAGCAGATGCTGAAATACCATAGAGCTGCGGCCTGCTCAGATGCACCCCTCTAAACAACTATGAGCAAGGAGTGGCGTAATACACTGCTAACTCTGGTTTTGGAGGAGGCATTCGTTATTTAGCATACTGTATTGTACGAAAAACTTACGCTGTCCCCGAATCATTATGTATTTACATAGACAGATACGTGATTCAAACAAAGTCAACTCTCGAAATAATTGCTTTATGTACGCCAGAGACACCTTGTCACCATGTGATATTGTTTGACAAACTTTTCTACTGCACTCGCTGACATTAAGGCCTAGTCAAAGGGCAATTCTGAGCACATTAATCATAATAAAATGAAAAGAGATTTATTCCACGTATGATTCATCTTATTACTTATAACAAGCATTTCTGCAATACAACAGCCAACTGTTTCGCCTTCAAACATCGCCGCAGGATGATAGATGGGTTGACATCAAGACATTAACCGCCCTGGTTTCTTCGCGGAAGAAAGTTTACACTTATGCTCACACGTAGAAGAGGTAATCATACGTGGCTGTTTTTAAAATGTCAGACTTCTTATAAACTGCACAAATTGCCCACGCACAGCTTCCTAGTGCGCTCCGCTCCCATGCTCATTCGAAACAAATGAGTATCCGTCACTCGACTGTTGTGAACATTTTTTCATTTCAAATATGTGCTTAAGAGTTTTACCTTGTGCTGTTTAGTCAGCTCTAAAGCAAATAAAGACGAATTACTCCGTTCAGCTTGCATATCAGGATATCAAGTGTGCAAGTTTCACGGTCCTTCCATCTGAAAAACGGCCAAGTTGTCCATATTCTTCCGTGCACATTTCTCAGCTGATTGCACAGAAGGATGTAGATGCTTTGCTTAGAGCACCTTTTCCTTCTTCAGCATCACCTTCTGCTTTTTTGCCAGACAATCAAAGACAAAACAGATGTCGAACAAGCTTACACCTGCATCGAATAAGTGCGTGTATACTCTTCAGTCATTTGGATTTCATGCTAAGCTTAATGAGATCGTTCCATCCTGTTGAAGGTCTTCTTGGCAAACGGCTACCATTATGCTCTGCGTTCAGTGTTCGCCAACGCACAGACACCATAATCTTAAACAATTTGTTTACGATCTGTCACATTAATCAGATATTTCAATGTCACTCACAACACCATCAGCCACCAGATCCTGCCACTTCAATCCTAGTACTGACCTCAAAATCTTCATCTCCATCGGTCCCAATTTCCTGTTTTCAATTCTGTTGTCGTCTTTGGGTCATAGAACAAGATGTTCAAGATGCAAGCCCTGCATATCCGTTACTTCGATACAATGGTTATTTCATTGCTTTTTCTTGCCACATAGTGAACATTGTATTCATCCATATAAGTGCCATCGCACGGAGCCTGTTTACCTCGTTTATCGCTATTTTTATCGCTGTTTATTCACTACTTTGGTGTCAAGGAACCGATATCATTGGTCCTGCTTATATTAATTCCCACCCACTTCGTCTTCGTTAAGTTAATCGAGAGACCCAGATTAAACACTTCTGTCTTCAGGATTAGTAATAGTGACGTTGCCTATTCGAATTTGTATGTAAGCAATGTGATATCATCCGAAGATGCAAGAGAGCATTGTAGTAGATGTTGCCCACTCTTGCCTCCTCTTTCGTACTGACAGGCAACCATACCAAACAGCCGAGTCTGTACCACTTCCTCTTGCCGCATTCCAAACTTAGCATGAAAAATTTACGGAGCATACAGTGCACACTGAACTTAACAAAAATTGATATATCCATGTAATTATGCGAATAACGCTTTGTTGATCTCCATGTTGTTCACCAACGTATGACAAGGCCGTTCTCCAGATGGAGTCAAACACTTAGGTGAATTCAAGGAATACATGTAATTTAGATCTACACTTTTTCTTCTATTGGCTGTCTTAGTGTGAGTATTTGGTCCAAATTCCCTCTACCTGGTCTAAGTCCAGATTGTTCTTCACCTAAAATCATTTCAGGATATTTAATCCTGTTCTCCGTAACGCACAATACATTTCAAATGGAATGGATAGTAGGATTATTCATCTCTGGTGATTTGGATCTTAACAACGTTCCTTCTTGAACATTGTTACCGCAATATCTTGCGTCTTGTCCTTCAGTACCTTCTTTCGGCACATATCAATTCATGGGGATTAGTTATTCACCAGCACCATGGTCATTCGAGGTTCCTTAGTTAGCTGCGTTTGTATTTCATCAATTCCGATGGTTCTTTATTTTTTGTAGGCTTCAGTCACATCTTCAAGGATTAGAGGTTCAGCATCGACATTCACCTGTTCCTCAGGCAAAATATCATGTAATGAATCTAGCTTCATAGTCACGTCATGTTTAAATAGATCTGTTTTTCCATATCCAAGTCACTTTTATAGAATCGTGACTGCTCTTATTCTCCCCTTTTCAGCGGTTGTTAGTTATGGCTTCTTTCTGTCGAAGGTGCAACTGACTATACTGAACAAGTCCTTTTCCCAAACCTCATCTTATACTGTTCCAGCCTGCTTCTTCAAGAAAGGTACTCTGCCTTTCCTTAATGATTTGTCAGTATTTTTCTACACTTGTCTCCTGAAATTTTGTAAAGAAAAATGTGGACACGCTTTTCTTCTGCTGCTAGTTCGATTCCAAACGAATCCGCAGTTTTCGTCAACTGTTCTTTTATGCCAGTTCCTGCTCTGCGATTATTTCTGCAAAAGA